TTCATTTAGTTCTGCTCTGATCTTTTTTCTGTCTACTACTTTTAGGATTGGATTGTTGTTGTTTCTCTGGTTCTTTGAGGTATAGTGTTAGGTTGTTTATTTCAAGTCTTTCTATTCTTTTCATGTAAGCATTTATTGCAATAAACTTCCCTCTTAGTACTGCTTTTGCATATCTCACAGGTTTTGGTATGACGTGTCTTTATTTTTCATTAGTTTCAAGAAATTTTTTGATTTCCTGTTTAATTTCTTCTTGGACCCATAAGTCATTCAGGAGCCTGTTGTGTAGTTTCCATGTACTTGTATAGTTTCCACAGTTTTGCTTGTTATTTATTTATGATTTTAATTTGTTGTGGTCTGAAAAGATAACTTGAAATGCTTTTGATTTTCTAAAATTTGTTGAGACTTAATTTGTGACCTAACATGTGGTCTATCCTGGAGAATGTTCCATGTGCTGATGAGGAGAATGTATATTCTGTAGTTGTTGGAAGAAATGTTCTGTAGATATCTGCCAGGTCCTTTTGGTCTAAGATATAGTTTAAATCCTATGTTTCTCTGTTGATTTGTTGTCTAGATCTATCCGGTGCAAGGGAGGGGTGTTCAGTTCCACCACTATTATTGTACTGGAGTCTGTCTCTTTCTTTAGATCTGATAGTGTTTGCTTTACATATCTGGGTGCCCCAGTGTTGGGTGCATACATATTTATGACTGTTACATCTTCTTGCTGGATGTGATGTCGGAGGTAGGGTCCAAGGGGCCTGGCAGTCAGCCTCAACCCATCCAGTCCTCTTACCAGGTTCTTACCTGGACAGAATTCATTGGCAGAGTCATGGTAGAAAGTGAGAACAAATTTAATATAATAGATAAGAAACAGGGGTTCCACAGAGAGAGTGAGGCATAGCTCCAGAGACTGAGCAGAGCTCACACCAAGTTTAACACAAAAGTAAGTTTAGTACAGACATGAAGTCTAACACAAAAGCCAGAAAAACATACTTAAGGTTCAGTACAAAGTGCAGGCTGGTTCAAGAGAATGAACAGCTGCTTGCTGAAAGTAAGCTAGATACAAAGTAAAGTATATACACCTCAGGCAGCAAGGTGTGGGATGCTCCAGGAAGGTAAGCAGCAACAACCCCTCCAGCTGTGATTCAGCTTTTATAGTTTTTCTATCTATTCAATTAAGGGGGTGGTTCCCAGTAGTGTGCACCAGTGTTCTGTGCCCTCTACTGAGCATGTCCAGCCACTGGACTGTATAAGACAGTCCCCTGTTGTCTCATTTTCCTCATGTTGGTGCTAAAAATAGGTCTAACTGGCAACAGTAACTTTCCTCCAGCTGAGAGCTCAGAGGAGGGGGCCTGAGACCTCAGGGAGTGGCTGGAAAACTAGAGGCGTGTCCTGAAACTCAAACCCAGGGAGACTGAGCACATCCTGTATCAGATAGATCCTTTTATCATTATATAGTGGTCCTTCTTTGTCTCCTTTTATGGTTTTTGATTTAAACTCTATTTTATCTGATATAAGAATAGCTACTCCTGCTCGTTTTTGGTTTCCATTTGTATGGTATATTTTTTCCATCCCTTCACTTTTAGTCTGTGTGAGTCTTTTCAGGTGAGATGAGTTTCTTGAAGACAGCATATAGTTGGATCTAGCTTTTTAATCCAATCTTTTGGATTTAATTTAAAATGTCTTTTGAATGGGGAGTTTAGTCCATTTACATTTAGGGTTGTTTGACAGGTATGTCTTACTCCTGGCATTTTATCACTTTTTGTTTAGAAGTTTTAAATGTCTATTTTTCCTTTCTTCCCCTTTTATTGTATTTGATTGTTGGTTTTTGAGGTGGTAAGACATAGTTTCTTTCTCTTTCTCAGTTGCATTTTTGTTTTACCAGTGGGTTTGTTCTTTCTTCTGTGTTTGTGATAGTGATTATTGTTTTTCAGATTCCAGATGCAGGACTCCCTTGAGAATTTCTTCCAGGGCCTGTTGCATTGGTGGTGAACTCCTGCAGTTTTTGTTTGTCTGGAAAATACACTATCTCTCCCTCATTTCCGAAGGATAGGCTTGCTGAGTATAGTATTCTTCTCTGGCAATTTTTTTCTTTTAGTATATATATATATATATATTTTGTCCTTTTTGAGACCGGCTGCACTGCGCTCAGCCAGTGAGCACACCGGCCATCCCTGTATAGGATCCGAACCCACAGCGGGAGCGCTTCTGCGCTCCCAGCACCGCACTCTCCCGAGTGCACCACGGGCTCGGCCCTCTTTTAGTATTTTTAATATATCATCCCATTTTCTTCTAGCCTGTAGAGTTTCAGTTGAGAAGTCTGCTTTTAGTCTGATATGGGCTTCCTTACACGTGACTTAATGTTTTTCTCTTGCTGCTTTTAGAATTCTCTTCTTGTCTTTGAGCTTTGCCAGTTTGACTCTAACATGTCTTGGAGAGGATCTTTTTGGATAGAATCTGTTTGGGGATCTTTGAGTTCTGTGGATCTGAAGGTCTGTATCTCTCCCTATACCTGGGAATTTTTCCATTATTATCGCATTAAATAGGTTTTCAATGCCTTTTCTTTTCTCTTCCCCTTCTGGAACATCCACGATTCAAATGTTTGTGTGTTTAAGGTGGTCTGCTACCCCTCTTAGGTTTTCTTCTTTTTTTGTCCATCTGGGTTATTTCATAAAGATCATCTTCAAGATCTGAAATTCTTTCTTCTACTTGCTCTAACCTGTTGCTTAATCTCCTAGTTGTGTTTTTTATTGCATTGAGTGAATCCTTCAGTCCAGGAGTTCTGCTACATTCTTTTTTTAAGGTATTAATCTCTTTGTAAGTTTCCTCCTTCATATCCTGGATATTTTTTCTCATTTCATTGTGTTCTCTGAGTTTTCTCTTCTCTCTTTGAGTTTTATTAAGATCATTGCTTAGAATTCCTTTTCAGTCATTTCAAGGGTTTCCTGCTCTATAGGGTCTGGTACTTGAGGCTTACCATACTCCTTTGGTAGTGTTGTATTTTTTTGTTTATTCGTATTTCTAATATCTCTACATTGAAGTCTAGGCATCTGGTAGAGCAGTTGTTTCTTCTATTCCTCTATAGGGTCTGGTACTTGAGGCTTACCATACTCCTTTGGTAGTGTTGTATTTTTTTGTTTATTTGTATTTCTAATATCTCTACATTGAAGTCTAGGCATCTGGTAGAGCAGTTGTTTCTTCTATTCCTCTGGAATGGGCTTTGAGGAGAAAGACTTCCTCCTCTTTTTGCAGGCTCTGCTGGTGACTCTCCTGTGTCAGTGCAGTGGGCTGTCTGCAGGGTGGTCCTGGCTGCTACTAGGGCAGTGAGCCATCCTTGTGGCAGCAGTAGCTGTGGTGGGTTTGTGAAGCACTCTTGCCTTCTGCTCAGGCAGGTAGAAGGGATGCCCAAGGCCTAATGATAATTTTTTTAAATGACAGTAGCTACGATATAGCACTCCTTCCTTCCCCTTTAATGGTCTAGTACTAGTTCTGGTCTATGTGGGGGTTGCAGACATTTGGTAGACATTGAAGCCATAGGGATAGATAAAATGGCCCTTGGAAATTATGTGGAATGAGATGGGAGCATAGAACAAATCCTTGGGCATAATTCAGAGCCTGAGTAGACAAGAAGGAATTGGTGAAGCAAAGTTAAAAATGGTCTTTTGAGATAGGAAGAAAACTAGGAAACCAGAAAAGCTTTGATAGCAAATGAGAGGTCAGAAATGCCAAACACTTGTACAAGATCAAGCAAAATAAGGAAGATGAAGAATGTCCATGGATAAACTTGGTGAGGCTATTTTGGTAGAGGAGTAGGGAAGAGGCCACATTGCAAGGGGTCAAAGAGAGAGAAGAAGGTAAGAAGTATTGGGAACATAAGCCACAGGGAGAAACTTGGCTGTGAAGAGGGAAGAGAGATAAGTGCACACTGAAGAGGAGAAGAGGCATTTTTTAACTGTGCAGTTGGCATATCCCAACAAGGCCACCGATGCAGGAAGAACTTCTTCAATCCAATACAATATAAACTCAAAGGTAAAAACAAACTAAGGAACGGTACTTTTTACTACAACAAGATTCTCTATTTCACAGAAGGAATATTTCCCATCAGGATTCCTTGTTTAACTGTGCTATAATTTTGAGACAAGGAAAGTTGTTGCCTCCTGCCATTGCAATAGATATCATCTAGAGCAGCCGCCCAAACCAAATGATACTACAGATGAGCAATGTATCTAAATTCTCCATCACGAATGATCAAAATTATGCATTCTCCATATAAAGTTTCCCAGCAAACAGAAGTATTTACTTAACTCACTTTTTCCACTTATTTATTTTAATCTATGAAACATGCAAATCATATTGACTGACTGAATTTCAGTGTTATTCACCTTGGCCTTCAAAAGTAGGCATCTTAAAGGGTTGTCTGGTTAGCTTAGTAGGTTAGAGTGTGGTGCTGGTAATACCAAGGTCCAGGGCTTGATACCTATACTGGCCAACCACTGGAAAAAAAGTAGGTGTTTTTTAAAAATTTAGTAAAAGTGTTGTGGACAAGCAAATATCTGCCACAGATGATCTGCAGTGACCCACTAAATTAAAATACTGGAACCACCAAAGTTTCCAGAAGAACAAAGACTGAATGTCCTTGAGATGCTCAGTCAACATATTGTTATCCTCCCAAGCACGGGAAAGATGCTGTGTCTGGGAAGTTAAAACTGCATGATCAGAGTGGCAGTTTCTAGAAGCCACCGACATTGACCAGAGTCAGTCTTTGGTCTCAACCAAATGATACATTTTTCAAGAGCAGAAAGTGCTTTCCCCACATGTGTTGTAACTACTTCACATCTCCAAGGATTTTGAGCTATGGTTCAATTAGTCCATGCTGGTGGAAGAGGGAAGTAAGGGACTTATGTCACCCACAGAATTACATCCTGAGCCCTGGCTGTGTGATGAGTGGGCTGGTTGGAAACAGCCATGGTAACAGCTTTACTAAGTGACTCTTGGTGCCACAGGTGGCCCTGACCTGCACTCAGATCTGGTGGACAACGGAAGTGGGCATTGCATTCACCAGGCTGGAGGAGGGCTACGAGCATGCCATGAAGGATTATTATAAGAAGCAAGTGGCCCAGCTCAAAACCCTCATCACCATGCTGATCGGCCAGCTCTCTAGTGGGGATCGGCAGAAGATCATGACCATATGCACCATCGATGTGCATGCCCGGGATGTGGTGGCCAAGATTATTGCTCAGAAGGTGGGTCCCAAATATCTAGGGGTTTCCCTCTTTGTGAACATCTACATCATGGAAGTAGCTCACAAAACATAGAAGCCCCAGGGTCTGCCCAGCACTGGCCAAACAACTGAGGGAGGGACAGAGCAGCTTGTGCTTTCTATGCTGTGGTGGTCACAGCATGCTGCACTCTTTAGCTGCAGACAACACCCAACTCATCCAGACCCTTATGTGTCCTGTGGCCAAGGGGCCACCTGCTACCTGTTGAACATTATGATTCACGCACCTACTCTGCCACTCTCTTTAGGTAGACAATGCCCAGGCATTCCTCTGGCTGTCCCAGCTGCGCCATCGTTGGGATGATGAGGCCAAGCACTGCTTTGCAAACATCTGTGATGCCCAGTTTCTGTATTCTTATGAGTACCTGGGAAATACTCCTCGCTTGGTGATCACTCCTTTGACTGACAGGTGAGCATTGGTGTCAGCCACTGACAACCCTACTGTTATCTGGTTCAAGACCTCCAGTGGCCATCCAGGTTCAAGATCACCATCACTTGCTATTTGTCCACAGAGCTGCAGGGGAAGTACCTGAATCAACACAGCAGATTGAAAATCAAATGGAAAGGATGTAGGGCAGAGCCTTTCTTGGAACAAACCCCAGAGCAAATGAATGAGCCATGACTTTGGGAAGAATTGTGAGGCAATCATACACACCTGGGTTCTAACACCAGCTCTCACACAAACCAGCTGTTTGACCACAAAAAAATTGACCTAATTTTTGGTTTCCTCATCTGTGAAATAGAGGTAGTAACTTGCACCTTACATGATTTTTGTGAGGATAAAAGACAGCAATGCTTGTCAAGAGTTTGGCATATAATAAGTGCTCAAAATTTATCCCTGTTATTATTTTCTTATCAATCAGTTGCTCAATCAACTGGGACATTTATTCAGTATCTCTCACTCTGGGAATACACGGATATAAGCAAGGTAGTTTGAACCACTGAGGAGCTTACAATTTTTTAGGGAGACATATTCCCTGTCATTTATATTAATTCATGTATGAATGAATTCATGCTGGACTAGTCACTGGGAGTATGAAGATGACTAAAACATTTCCTGCCCTGAATCTTCAACTCTAGTGAGGAAAATAAGACATACGTAGAAAATAATTTAAATAACACAAGGAGAAAAGGTACAAGGACATAGTTAGTATAAAAAGGGTGCAAAGCCATACGCTACACATTTGCAAACAGGTGACTCAGCAGCAAACCCTCTGAGCACAAGAGTTCCCACTCACTGCAGGAAGAAGACAACTGAGAAAGTTCAGGGAAGCCATAAAAATGGGAAAACTCAAGGTATGTTCCTGTGAGAGGGAGTGTAGGACTCTTGCCTTTGGGGGAGGTAGCTGGCCCTAAAGGAGTCAGACTACAGCTGGTGGAGAATATATTCCTTACCCAGTAAGTAGTAAAATGGTAAAAACTACTTTATGAAGATTTATGTAACAGCAGAGCACGGGCAAAGAGATAGAGGACAGGGTAATAAGGTCATGGTCCATGTGAAAAATGATATTTTAATTCTGCTGTGTGGAGAATATATTCCTTACCCAGTAAGTAGTAAAATGGTAAAAACTACTTTATGAAGATTTATGTAACAGCAGAGCACGGGCAAAGGAGATAGAGGACAGGGTAATAAGGTCATGGTCCATGTGAAAAATGATATTTTAATTCTGCTGAGGTTTCTGTAAATTCTGCTAAGAGTTCATGCCCTTTTCTTATAATTTCATTGAACACTAAATCTCCCCTTCTCCAAAAAGAGTTGTACATCTGAATGACTGGCTCACCGAAATAAATGACTTGTAGGTAATGAAGAGATTGTCATAAATTGTGAAGGTTAATATGACCAGATACAATCTGTGTTAACTTTTACTTAATTTTCTCTCTATGTTGAGTGATACCAAATCCTATATTCTGGTCAAGTCCTCATATATATTTCCAAATATCTGATAAATATTTCCAAATTATGTTGTAATTCCTGCGCTCATGAAAGGAATCGGACATAGGAAATCCAAAGTACCTGAAGATCCCAACGTCATCTGTAGATTAATCCTTCATGGTTCACCTCCCCATGTTTTTCGTTTCTTTAATTCATTTTCCTGCCCAGTCTCGAAAGCTCTTTCACCCTGAGCCGCACTCGCACTGCTCTGCTTCTGCTCTGTGGAGGTCATGTCACTGTCTCCAGTGGCTTCCCGCTGCACATAGATTAAAATCTGAACTCTTCACCAGAGCCAGTAATTGCTGTCAACCACCCTGACGCCTCACTCCCGGTCCTACAACCAAATGGCCCCCTTTCCGTTCCTTGATCACTTCAAGTTCATTCCAGCTTAGAGCCTTCACGGCTCCCTCTACATCAAATGCCCTTCTCCAGGCTCTCTGTGCACTGGCACCTTCTCGTTCTTTCCTTCTACTCTTTACTCCCGGTCCTACAACCAAATGGCCCCCTTTCCGTTCCTTGATCACTTCAAGTTCATTCCAGCTTAGAGCCTTCACGGCTCCCTCTACCTCAAATGCCCTTCTCCAGGCTCTCTGTGCACTGGCACCTTCTCGTTCTTTCCTTCTACTCTTAGTTCTGAGCGGCCTTCCTTGACCACTCTTTCTAGAAGACAACCTCTCGCATCTCACACACACATGCACGTACATGTGCACACACACGTAGAGCAGATAACCCTGATATATCCCCCTGCTTATCTTCTTTCTGACATTTCCCCCATTTCTGAAATGGCCTTGCTTTTAGTCCCCTTTGAAATGTAAGCTCCTTGCAATCAGGGACCTCTGTCTGTCTTGTTTGCTGCTATGTCATTAGCACCTAGCAGGTTTTGAATTAATATTTGTCAAATGCATGAATGATGGTTGAAAACTGAAGATCCAGATCATAAGGGTAGACAGAATCAAGACAAGAAGTCAACTCGGGGGAAGAATCTCTGCAGGGCTCTGTGTCTTGGCTTCTGAAGAGGAAAGAACAGCTACTCTATATTTGTTCTTAGCTGGAACCCACTCTCCTGCTTGACCCAGCTTAGGACAGCATGCAGATAACACCTGTTCAGAGGAAGACATAGACCTCTCTGCAGCTGGCAGCATCAACTCTAGGAGACTTGGAGTCTTAAAGGTTTTACTTTGGCCCAGTCAGTTGCAGGGGCTCATGCAGTGTCAGTTAAGGAAAAGTTTTCCCACCTCAAGCTTCGTTCAAACTGGACCCTCTCAAGTGTCTTTGTCTTTATGATGATTCTCAGCAAGACATGTATCGTTAGCAGGAAGGAAATCTGGTGCAGCATTTCCCACTGCAATGAGTTGTTCTGCCTGCATTGGAATATGAGCTAATAGTTTGGGAATTTATATCACTTGGAATAGAATCATGACACCATTATATATTCGAGAGATTTGATTAATGTCTGTCTCCCACTCAAGACTATATGCTCCATGATAACATTGACTTTCATTCGCTTTCTGCTCTACTCCCAGGACCTAGCACCACGTCCAGCATATAATAGACATTCAAGAAATACTCCTTGAGTGCAATTAAATGGTTTTTTGAGACTGTGGATACGTACGCAGCTTCCCCGTGCCATTCAGAACTTTTTCTTTCTTTCCACTGACATATCAGACATTATCGTTCTGAATGATAAAAAGTACAAGACTTTTGTTTTCCCTGGGTCTTCGTACCTGCCTGGGAGTTTAAGAAGATAATCACCTTTTGGATTTAGCAGTCTCTAGTATGCTAATGCCTTATAGAGGAAAGGGTAAAGTTTTGACAATGAATTATTTCTAAAATAGGAATTTATCACCTCTTCTGTGAAATGATGCAAATAAGAACTTGAAAGGAAGATTTGTTGCAAATAATGGTGAATTTTATATAGACCTTGACCTTGCTTTGCACTTTAGATGCTTTTCTGACAAAAGTAATATGTAGTTGAATATTTTGTATAGCAAATTCCATTTTCTCATTGACTTCCATTATTATCTTAAGAAATGTTTTGCCCAGAAAAAAAAAAAATTGTTCTCAATGTAGAAAATCACATTTTAAAGAGCATTCAACCTTTACTGGTGTGGAGCTTAAGTACATTTAATTCTCTCCTGCCAGAAGAATAATCAAATGGACAATTGATCCACACAATCTTTGCACATTCATTAAAAGCACACCCGTATTACAGTACATCCCACTGATTAAGCTTTTTTCCTTGGAATTTCCAACTGCCTGGGTAGGACTTGAATATAAAAGTAGGTACAATGGCTCAGCCATTGTCACAGGACTTTGGCACAACACTAAGTTGAAGAACTAAATGGAAATGTTTTTGGGGGCTGAACAAAAGCAATTTTCATGAGCTGTTTCTTAACCTTTAGATATCTCCTTCCCTCAACTCCCCTTCCCTCACCTTCACACACAAACGCCCCTTTCTGCCCTGTGCCGTGTTAAGTACTCTTTTAATCAACTGCTTATTAATTTTGAGTACACCTTAATTTCTCAAGAACTATGCATGCAGTGAGATAGAATTGGTGCAAAAGTCTTTGAAGGTAATTTGCTGGACAAGGACACAACTAGCAAAAGTCAGACACTTTCTCTTAACGTTTTTCTCTCATGTTTTATTAGAGAAAATTTAGACAACTTAGTAATCCATAAAAAAGAAAATAAGTCACTCAGAGATGACCCAGTGTTAATATTTAATGTTTCCTTCTACGTGTAGATTTTGACAGATGAAATTGAGATCGTATGCTGTATATGAAATATATATTGCACGATTTACTTAACATTATATTGTGTGTATTCTTCTAAAACACTTTAATAGCTAAATTACAGTCTATTTACAAGTAGCCCATAACTTATGTAACATAACTGTATTATGGGGTATTTAAATTATATCTAAGCTTTTACTATTAAAAATAAAGCTGCATGAATTCACTTATACATACGTTTTTGACCAGATTGCTTAGTATTTCCCCACCCATAATAGATTCCAGAAAGCAAGATCGTTAAATGATACATACTTTCAAATTCTTCTTGAAAAACATGTTCTTCCCATGCTCTCTTATGGTTTATGAAAATGTTCATCTCACAACACCCTGGTCAGCATTAAGTATTAGTGTTATGATTTTTATTAATTTTATAAGTCAAAATTGTATCTCATTTGTGTTTGGTGTCCTTAATTACTCATAGGCTTGAGCATTTTTATGTGTTTATTGTCTATTAGATTTTCTTCTCCTGTGAATTGTTTATTACCTTCATTGCACATCGTTCTATGGGGTGTGCTTTTATTAGTTTTATGCTTAGAAAATCTCAGCTCATTTAATGTTCACCTATATTTTATTCTAGTTTAGTTTATTTTACTTTTTCCTTTAACCTTTTTTAATTCTTTGGGAAACTTTTTGACTATTCAGTAAAGTGAGTCAAAACTATTTTTTATCAAAACATTTTTAGGG